CTCCTAATATTCTGTGATTCTGTGAACTGCAAATGACTATAGATTTATACTGCACATTAGTCTTTGGCCTTCAATAATCCCATGCATTTGGCATGAGCAGAAAAAGCTGTTTTCCTTTCAAGCTTTCAGGATGTAAGTAACAAGGCAAAAAAAGCATGCCGTGTTTCATTAGTACTCCTGGAAAATATTTTACTATTGGATGGAAGGATCTGGTGAGCCACTGTTGAATGGTAAATCCCTGCCTGGAATGGGCTCCTCTACAAGCAGTTTTCTCCTGCATAGGAACATGATTCAACACATGATCCTTGTTTTGAAGAGGAGTCTGACAAAACCAGATGGGCGTAGAGCTGAGTAAAATAATACAGGTTCCTGCTCTCTGAGCTTATGGATGTGAGCACAGCAACAGTTCAAGATACAGCAGAGCTAATGAAACCTTTTTCCTATGGATACCTGTCTCCGATGATTGCAAGCCCTAATTATTTGTGCAATTAGAGGAAGGTCACCTGCCCATATGGGTTCCCTGGTGTCTAATTCATGCTACAGTTTTTCCAGTCAACATGCTAAGACCTGGTTTTCACTCAGCTCTCTTACAGCTTCCTACTTAAAAGTTCTCTGCCATCAAGTGGCCTGAAATGCCTTTTGTGTAAGGAGGGTACAAAAATCAGCTCTCATACGTCTTGGGCAAGTACTTTTAAAAGGCTCTTTTACATAAGGTTTTATATCATCATTTCCATTTCTAAATGATCTAAAGATGAGAGATTTTTTTAGTAATGTTCAGAGTAGGATCTTCCACCTACTCAGGAATTTTCTCAGTCCTCTATGAAGGGCAGCAGAGCATAGGCAGGAGATTCTCATCTTCCTCATCAAAGCACATCTAAACACACTGGCTACCTGACTTAAGGCACAAAGGAATTTCAAAATCAACAAAGGAGGAGATTACAAATTTGGCTTTTCTAGAGAACAGGCAGTATATCCAGACCATCAGCACATATGCCTCAAAAGATTTTAAACACCAGATATATGAATATTGAAATAAATAGTGAATTCTCCAGAGACACTGAAAGCAGAAGCTGCACAAGAAGTTATAACAAGAATTCCTGTATGCCAGGACTGTATTCACCAGAAATTAATCTCCCTTTATTAAAGCTTTTGCTTCCTTGGTAACTGCAGTATTTCTGCACCTGTGGAGCATTTTAAAATTATACATATATATATGTCTGTGTGTGTGTATATATATATGTATATATATATATAACTGCTTTTCTCTCAATGGTTTAATAAAGATCATAACTGTCTCACCTTAGTGTCTCCAGTTTCTTTGTCCTTGTACTGAACACCCACGACACAGTCATCTTCCTCAAGCAACTGTAACACAGTTCCCTCAATGAATTTTGCACTGAAATTACATAAAATAGAGGGGTTAGAACAGAATGGAAGAGGATTACTGATGTCAACATTTCAAGGCATTAGGCACAGAAGGAAAACCAGATTTTCACTGATCTTGTCTCTGCCGACCCAAACGCTTTGTTTAAATTTTATAGATAAAGATGTGTTCTTGTCCACTTTCGGAAGCCAAATTAAATACCAAAAAGTGCTTGTCATTAATTTCACTTCAATGCTATGATTTGGTTTGACACTTGATAATATTCTAAATGCGTAATGTTTATCTTTAACCACTTTACAGAATCCCTAGATGTGCTTCAGGTGCTCCACCGCCATATGAGAGAAGCAAAGAGGAACTGGACACCTAATAGCAGTTAGAAATCAGGGAGATGACAGAGTCATGAGTACTGCTTGTATTTGGAGTTTGAACTGAGCATCCCTTACTTCTACCTCCCAACCAGAGCTATTTGGGGCTCACAAATTAAATCTCTATAAGTGTATACCCCTTTTGTTGAGTCTGAGCTGTTAGACTTGATCCCAGCAGTTCAGACTTAGCAGCTCGAAACGGACACACTCACTCCCTCACAAATATTTTCAAATCCAGATGGAATCCCACAACTTGGAGAAATGAGCTGTTCCATGTGAGAATACAACCACTTGATATTTCAGTGATATTTTAGGCTCTCAGAAGGAACGTGAGCAATTGAATTCATGTCTTTTCTACATGCCAGCCAACACAAAAATTTCAGAGCAGATCGTGACTGATTTAATTTGCCAGGCAACAGGCAGGTTGGCTCTATCAAAATACGAAAGGTTATATGTAAGCACACTAACAAACTTCAACAGCAAGGGAGTGCAGCAACATGTCAGGTTAATTGCAGGTGAATTGGAGTTCTGCAGAACCTATCAGCTTTAAATTCCTTTTATAGTTGTCACTTTACCTACCTAAGTAAGTGTTCACTTATTTTTCTGGTTCTTATCCAATATAAAAATAATTAACTAATGATGACCTACCTCCTTCCTCTGCAAAATTAATTTTATAATCTGAAATAAATTCATATTGCCTAGTACTTGGACAGAGGATAATTAATTGGTAGTAATTATCCCCTTTATTTTCTCAAGCACTGAGATGAAAAACAAAGTCTCATGGCACTATTAAGAGTGTCATGCACCTTAATTTAACAAGAAGTTTTCTATGCTACATTTAAAATGGAAAGCAAACATACACAAAGAATATTAAAGACCATGTGCAAAAAGGGGAAAGTACTAAATTCAAGTCATAAAAATTAGCTTCTGTAAGTTTCTGCTTCAAAGACTGTGTACAGCTACTGGACTTTTTCCCTGTAAGTTGAGCAAACACTGAACTTGAAGCCTCAAGAAGGCTTCAGCTTTTATAGCTAGTAAACGCAGTTGTGCTTAATTTTAGCTGTACTACAGAGCTGCTATCTTTTAGTGCTACTTTTAGTAATTCTTATTATATAACAGACATGATAGGAGAAAGCAATTTTCCAGTTCAGAATAAAAACATGCATTTAGGGGGAAAAGACAGACAAAACAAAGAACTACCCCACAGAAAACAGTACCTACAATCTACTCGGTTTCAACAAAAGTTTCCTTCTCAACTATTGTGTAAAAGAAAGAAATCTGTTAAGAAGGAAATACCAAACACTGATTTTTATTTCATTAGGAAGACAAGGTGTCTTCAAGATTCTGAAAACCAGAAGTTAATAACTGGAAAGAGCTACTGCCATTTAGTGCTCCTTTGTAGTTACTTTGCTTTTCTTGTTACCAGTCAAAGCAGAACAACTTGCAAATGTATAATATTGCTTTCTGGCATCATTGATTAACAACAGTGGAAGAAATACATGCCCCTGTTCATTGCAGGACAGTAAAGCTAGACGATGTTTAGAGGTCCATTCCAACCCAAACCATCCTATGATTCTACAAAATGGTATCAGATATGCTGCTCATTTCTCAACCAAAGAAGTCCTACGCATTGCTTGCTGAGAAGAGGACACTTCTGATAAAACACCAAATCCAAGAATCAGAAGAAGAGAATCAACCCTTTACCCCTGAGCTGTTCTCTCACATGGATAGGCCAGTACCTTGCCTAATATTTAAAGCCCATATTCCTGTAGTTTAAAGATTAACTTGTCCCAAACGGTAACGTATGATGTTATTCACGAACAACTCATGAACATGTCTACAGAAAACAGAATGAGCAACTACAGCTGTTACGTTTTCAGTGTTGTTCATTGCAGCCCTCCGTGTTGGGACAGAGTGAGATGGTTAAGGAATCTCACGGATGCTGGGAACAGTGTTTCTGAATCTCTGGATCCCAACTGTGCCATTCACGAGGTGACTCACTTGGGCTCTGCCATAGCTGCCCTTCGGAGACCCATGATGAACTGGCCATGATGAAAAGATCTTCCACTCGCCACACGACCATCCTCAGATGTTGGATAAGGAATTTCAACCTCCGAGTTGCTCTCTATGTCATGAATTATGTAGCCATTTACTATTTGTGAATCAATACCTTCCACTGTATCTGTAAAATACAAGCCAATAGATGTGTTAAAAAAAGTCTTTAAGAAATCTTCATTATATATGAAAAGCATTTCTTTATATAGAGTCCAACTGTCTTGAATCAAAACGCGTATGTTGAAGGATTAATATTTTCAAAACAGCAAGCTGGGAATACGCAAGCAATTTTAATTCAAATATTAAGCATAGATAATGTATTTCTTCATTTTCCTTGTAGGCACGCTTTTTCTAAAAACATAATTGGGTGTAGTAGCTGTTGTATTATAGATATACTTACATTTTGAAATGCACTCACCTTCAAGACCCAGGTCTTTAAGTGCATTAAAACCTCCAGGTTGCAACAGTTCTCCAACTATCCTGTCAGGTTCCTTCAGATCCCTCTCTATCACAGTCACCTTCCTTCCATCCCTCGAGAGCACCGTGGCCAAGGTAGAACCAAGGACGCCTGATCCCACAATGATAATTTCTGGATCATATTGGGGTGATAATGTAGCATTTGGAGCAGTCTCTGCCAGATATACATCCGAGAAGCTTACTTCTCTCTTACCCTTTAGAAAAGAAAGGCAATAAAGTAACATGCGTCGATGTAGCTGTACCATAACCTTGTCAGAGGGCTGACTTTGGACTAGTTCTACTTTGACCCAGGGGACTGAGAGAGCACCAGCAGTTGGAGAGGATCTTCCAGTTTAATTTGTCCAAAATTGTATCAGTTGTACTCTACTATCCAACAAAAACACAAGCAGAGAAAAGAAAAAACAGTCCCCAAACAAAATCAAGACACTTGCTTAAAACTGCCCTGCTGATCAAAGACAAACCGCTGATATAGCCTCAGAGAGACTGAAAGTCAAGTTTCTATAAAGGCAGTAAGCCAAGGCTGTCCCATATTCTTGGACTATAAAGTAACACACCAACGCCTTCACACCAGTGAACCACTACTACACAGAGGCCTTAACACTTCACAGTGAAAAAGTTACCAGATTCACTGAAAAATCTATTTAGCTTTAATTTTACTATAAGTGAACCTACCTACCAAAATAACAGCTTATGGTAATACCCGGCATGGAAAAGTGTCAGCAGAAACAGCTACCTGGGAAATGTTATAAAGAAGCGGTCATGAAATGAAGAGTCATGAGACAGTCAAAAGTATGGGCAAAATTACTATTCACTTACATTTAAAAGTGTTAAGAATTGACATACGTCAGATTACAAATCAGTTAAGATAGAAACTGGCACCTGAAGACCAGCTACATTATAGTACCCTCCCAACAGCATCTAATCACATACACTTCCAAGTGAAAAAAGTTGTATGGGGAATTCTGGTGCAAACCTGCAAGTCATTTCTCCAGCTGACAGAAGACTAGAGTCCAATTCACTCTTTCACAAATGCCTCAGCACTGCGCTGCTGACAGCGGTAAAAATACAATTGCATCAGTGAAACAAATGCCCAGAACAACACTGACACCAGGATTTCTAGTGGCATAGTGTTGTGTTTGTATCTAAAATGCAGCAAGGGTGTGCAAATCTATCTATCTGAATTCAGATAATACAAGATATTGAGGTAAGGGCAGGCTTTAGAAGTAAAACAAAAATCAAGAACCTTTGACTTGAGGCCAAAAATAGTTTCAAGTTATTCTGTGCAAGGGGTCAGTGCCCAGCTGAAAATGCCTAGAAGCACACAGGCAAGCAGCCAAACAGCGCTGACCCACAGATGCACTGAATATGCATATCCAGTGGGCAGTCTTAGATGGCAGGACTCCAGCTAAGCTCCAGCCACCAGCTCCAGCCCTCTCCACTGTCTCACAGCAAGTCTCATTCTGGGCTCAGTGGAACAGACTGATGATCTGAGCTCAGGTCCTGTAGCTGTTGTACAAGCAATAGTTTAGCAATAATTTCCAAGTAACTCTATCTGCAGTTGTCTAAACAAATGTGTTTTATGTGGAAGTATTAGGAAGCTCATCACAGAACCACAGAGTGGCTGAGGTTGGAACAAACCTCTGGAGGTCATCTGGTCGAAAGCACCCCCCTGAAGCAGGGACAGTTAGAGCAGGCTGCCCATGACCACGTCCAATAGGGTTTTAAATATCTCCAAGGATAGAGATTTCACCACCTGTGCCAGTGCTTGGTCACCCTCACAGGAAAAACCATTTCCTGATGTTCAGAAGGAATCTCCTGTGTTTCAGTCTGTGCCCATTGCCTCTGGTCCTGTCAGTGGGCATCGCTGAAAAGAGCCTGGCACAGTCCTCTTTGCACCCTCCTTTCAGTGGGCATCTCTGAAAAGAGCCTGGCACAGTCCTCTTTGCACCCTCCTTTCAGTGGGCATCTCTGAAAAGAGCCTGGCACAGTCCTCTTTGCACCCTCCCTTCAGCGGGCATCTCTGAAAAGGGCCTGGCGCAGTCCTCTTTGCACCCTTCCTTCAGGTATTTATACATTCATGGGATTCCTGAGAGCCTTCTGTTCTCCAGGCTGAATAGTCCCAGCACTCCCAGCCACTCCTTATAGGAGAGATGCTCCAGTCTTTCATCTCTACAACAGACTGGCAATTGAAGATATTTTTCTGCTAGTATAGTAATCCTTTATTACAAATCTTTCTTCAAACACATTTGATTTGACTCTACAAAACCTCTGCTCTATCACTTAAGTAAGTTTCAGAGTTTATTTTGCATCCAAAACTAACAGAAAGCATGATGAATCAGACATCCAACATGTAAAGACAAACCCACTCCAACCCTTTTTTAGCTCCTTTCCTGCACCAAGGCAGAGGTTTAGTGGACTGAGGGAAGAGACGGATGGCATTGTACCCCACGTGCCACATCTGAACTGAACCTACCTTTCTGGATTTGAGTTGTTCGACTTGTTGAGATCCTGGGGTTGGTTTGGCCCAGAAGAAGCCAACAAGTGGTAAAGCTGAGAGAACATCAGATAGCATCCCCAGGTGGGTCTTCTGCTGCTGCTGCTGCTGCTTGGGCCCCCTGAAGCGGTACCTGTACGATAGCAGCAAGCCGAGGGAGAAAAACACTAACACGGAGAGTAGCACCTCCTTATTAGCGTAATTCATGAGGTCTCCACACTTTTTATACACGTAAATGAAGGAGGCAATACCCAGAAAGGTCCACATCGTGAAGGGACTGGTCACTGTGCCTGGCTGCTTCCTCCAAAGCTTTCCTGGTGATGGATACTGCCCTAAACAGGTTTTAGCACAAGGTATGAAAAATATACGTATGGAAACGCAAAGATTTCCTTAGCAACGGAAGGGAAGGAGATCTCAATGAAGAAACAAGGAGCTCCACAAAACCTTGTAGAGGAACAAGCCCAGCCTCACAGGGCCGGCACAGGAACCCAGAGGAAGGTTCCAAAAAACGCCAAAAAAAAGGAAAAAAAAGAACAATATAAAACGTCTTCTTCAAAATCACCGAGCGCCGCACAGCACCTTAAGGAAACGCACGCGATGCCGGCGGAGCTGGAGCTCGTCGTCCACCGCGGCCCGAGAGCTGCTTTTCCCACCGCCTCCGGGGCTCACTCCTCCGCCGTGCCCAGCCCC